TTGACAAATTTGGGATTTGGGATTTTAACCCCTACCAAACTCAATTAATTTTTTATGCAAGTTAAAATGGAATAACTTAATTTTCTTTTTTGTTACTTGCTATACACATGTTGATTAAAAAGTGTACAAAATTGCATTGCGTGTTGAAGTATGCTCTCGAAGTTGTACACTTTTTCTCAAATGTTCCTTAATTTTTGTTGACTAGTTTATAATACTTAACTGGACACTAGCACAAAAATCACATTTTACAAGAAACAGAACTAGGGTGATGGCAGTGGCAATACTGAAAAAAAAAGAAGAAAAAAATAGAAGAGACTGACCATTTTGTAACATAATGCCCAAAAGTCACAAACTCAAAACAAGCAAAAAAAAGGAGTAGTTACAAAAAATGGAAGATACTGATCTTTTTCTATTGAATATTACTCGCTCGAGATTTTTCCATGACACAAGTGTACTGAATTCACCTGCATAAACGGCAGCTTATTATGCACACATCCTTTCAGATTTTAGATAATTGGAACACAGGAAGAAACACAGCAGAAATAGACTAATTTTTCTTTACTTTACATACGTACACTATATTCTTTACTTTCCATCAGTACACAGGCTAAAACATATCACAATACATTAAAACAGAAAAGAAAAAAAGAATAAGAAAGACTCTTGGCAAGAAAAAAATAATCTTGCATACAACAAAAATCTGGAGGACACCCACCCCTGTTTTGTTTTTCTAACACAACAATGACAGCAACAAACACCCCTCTTCCAATACATAGTACAAAACCAAAAACATTAGCTAGAGTAATTTTGAGTATACTCTTAATAGTTTGCACAACAACTGCCCTTTAAAAGGTACCGTACCAACCACAACAACATCACATGACAAACAGAACCTTTCAACTTTTACACAGGCGAGTCAGGAGTTCCAAGCAAGGGCAAAGATTTACACAGCAGTGACTCACTTATTCAGGTTCATTCTTACCTTATAAAACATAGCAAACATGGCTCCCATCACCACAAAAGGGAGGAAACTGAACACGCCGGTTCTTTTGACTTTCTTCTTCATGATCCACTGCAGCCAGCCCAGCTTGGTGTCACTGTATGGAGGGTACCTCAGCCTGGGGACAGAACACACTCGGAACTTGAGCCCTTTCCACCACAATGTTGGAACCGCTGAGCCGGTGAGCCACTGACAGCGGCTCGGGCACATTTCTTTTCGATGACTTTGATGTCAAATTACTTTTTGGCAATTGAGGAAAACAGGTCTCTTTTACCAGGATTTCATTCAATAGATGAAGAACTACTGAAATTTAACTCCACTTCTTTTGATTTAAGGGCCAATTTAGTGATGTACTTATCAATTTCAGATTTGAGTACCAAAAGAGGGTCACGGCATAGTGAGTTAAAGAGGAACAGCTTCAGAATTAAGTACGGTACAGTATTGATACACTGTCCCTTTTGAACATTGCTGAGTCATTCAAAGAGTGGAGAATTTTTTGTGCTTGTTGGGGTTTTTTTTAATATAAGTGTTTTTTACGCCCCTATCGACATAATATAGATCGTTTAGGAGTACCCTGCCTGTCAAAGCCAACCCAGGCTGAGAGGGATACAGTATCCCAGCAGAAAGACTGAAATATTCTATAAAAATGTTCTCCCCTCGCCAGAATTGAACTCCGGTCTCCTGAGTGCGACGGTGAAGCGCCAAACTGCTACACCACAGATGCTAGTCTTCAAGTGGGAGTACCTCCAGTGTTAGTGCCACTATCAGATAAGACCAAACTAAGCAAGTGAGGAGCCTAAAAAAACTCAAAACAACACAAGTGTAAGAATATCTTATTGGTGATTCAAACCAAAGTCACTGGCATCTTAATCTAGTGTGACTGCAATGGAACTAATGGCTCTAAAAGATTTTGATACCATATGGCAGCATCAATTGAAATTTCTGGAGAGTGTGTAGCATTTTGAGGAGTTCTATAAATTTCACACCTTTCTTTTTTCTTAATTAAAGTACAGTCAAACATGTCTTAGATGGCCACCTTTTGTCAAGGAGAAAATTGGCCATCTTACACAGTGTCATTATAATGTTAAAAAATCACAAAGGGGGGGGTGGGGGGGGGGAGTGGCCACTTGTACATGTCTTACACCGGAGAATGTTAGAGCAGGTTGAACTACACGCGTCACCGATACACTCAGTAAGACCAGAACCATTGGTTGGGCTATACAAATTTCGTCCAATAAAAATGTCCATGCTGTCATGGAAGGAAAACCAAGATGGCCAACAAACAATATAACAAAAAGTATAGTATAAGCCGCAGTGAAAGAGAGGTATGGAGTCTGTTTCCATGTTCATTCCCCACAATATAACGCGTTATCGGAACACTTTTGAGTCACGCAAGAGTCAGGCTCCATTCTTTAAATTAATTTCAACACACTAATCAATGTTTTCCTGTTCACCACAGCTTGTACTCCTGGATCACTATGTACAGCCGTCATAATTAAGGTCACCACCATTTTGCGGGTTGTTTTGTTAACTAATTATTAAGAGTATAAAAATCAGACCATAAAAAGGACTGACCAATTCAACTTCTGGCCGAAGCCAATGTACCAAATTTTGTAAAATGGTAACACTTTCCATACAATAGTTACCTTCTTAAACCTAAAAAACACATTTGAAAAAAAATAAAATAAAATAATGCCCCCCGCTTCACAAACATCCAGGCAGCAACAGGTGGCTATTGCAAGCTAAACTGTCTTTTACTACAGGGGCAAAGACAAGACAAAGATATAACAAGATCCAAGAACTATGTCCCCTAAATGATAGACTGTTCTCACAGCTGCAGGAGCTGATGAACCCCTCCCCGCTTCCTGAATTCAGATGATATACAGCAGGTGCAACAGTAAAAAATGAAGCTCAACTTACTGATTGACCGAATCCAGGGCCAGAGATTTCTCCAAGACAGCCTTCTGGTGGCTGAAAGAGTCAAACGAGTGTTTCCCGTGGTACCTTCCCATGCCACTGTTGCCAACACCACCAAAAGGAAGAGTATTCACTGAAATACAAAATGACATTGTTTACTACTAAAACAAAAGATTCTCTACAGTGGTCTAGCGGTTAGGCTCTTGGACTCGCCACAATAAGGTCGTTGGTTCGAGTCCCATCAGGGGGGCCCGACAGTGTGTCCTTGGGAAAGGCACATACACCAATTTTCCTAATTTCCCACAGGTGGGAATGGGTACCTGGCCTATAGACAGCCAAAGATCTTGTCAGTTTGTTTGTGTTTGAGTGCTTAACCAGCTGCTTGCACTGTATTCTTCCTGAGAAGCTGAGAATGTTGCTGAGTGTTCTACAGTCTACTGGGGTGATAATATAGATTGTAAAATACAAAGAGCTTTCTGTTATGAGAGGATATGTGCTATACAAATGTTGTTTATTACTATTACTATTACTGTGGTCTTTAGGTCTCTACATGAATTCCAAATTTCTAAACCAGCATTGTGTCTGTATCGAGTTGAATAAGTTCAAATAAATTTCAGTTTATGGGCAGCTGGCATGACAACTGCAACATTTCACCAAGGACCAAGCCTAGGGCAATACACCGTCCTGTCACAAAACATGATACAACAAAGTTCCACAGAAATAGCAGTTCACAGAGCGGACCACACAACCATGCCCACCAAGCATCCACTGAGTTTAATTTTTTTTTTCAAACATAGTCTCATATCATTGTTGTTATTCAGTGCTAGGGAAAAAAACACAGGTTGCAAACAGATAGTAGTACAGTATGTTTTAGTAGAGGTTTTACGGTGCTCACAACTGCACAAGGTCATATGAGCACCAAGGGATGGATGTCAAAAGAGAAGTCCTTACAGGGAATCAGACTTACTCTGCTCACCTTTCTAGCTTCAACAGCACAAAGTGTAGTACAGTATGACATGCACAACAAGGACAAGCCACAGTTGTAACTTTCACTACAGAAGTGTCAGCCTAGCAGGATCAACAGAAACGTGAAGATCACCACATCATCAGCAAGCTACTCAAATATACTAAGCCCAGAGAGCACCATTTTTTAGGAGCGAGAACAAAAGTTTCATTTTTTAAGACAATCGTATCCACAAGATGTATTTGTTCTTCTTTTTATTTTTTAAACATTTAGAATTTAAATTTTGACAGAGAGTTTCTTTAGTAGAAGCAACTATTACCACAGATTAATAAATGGCAGTTAAAAAATATTTTTGAAATTTGGGGTTTCATACATCCAATCAGCTGGCTGGCGATATGCTACTGAGTCATCAAACACAAGGTAACAAGCGCTGGATCAGCAGCAACAGCAGCAACAACTTTTTCTCTGTGAACCCTTCAGCTTCCAGGGGATAACAAGTTTTAGTTCATTTGGTAAAGGTTTTATGGCGATCGCAACTGAATAAGGTCATATGAATGCACGGGATACAAGTTGGCTGTTTACAGGTTAATTCACAGCACAGCTTGGTTTTACTTTGCCAGTCAGAATGGTTGAAGTACCTAAAAATACATTGTAAAAATTCAGTTTTAAACCAAAAACTTACATCCACCGTGGACGACTGTGTCATTGACCAGAAAGGCGCCGCTGCTCGTCCCCAGCCGGAACTCCTGAATCAGAGACTTGTTGTTGCTGAACACATACAGGGACAGGGGCTTGTCTCTGGAAATGGAGCAGGAGATATAAATCAAAGTTTCAAACTATTCTGTTGGAAGAAAAGTACTGTCGAGCCTGCTCTAAGGGCCGCCAGTATATAACAATCACTGTACAAATGGCCATTTCCCACTTCTCAATGTGCATTTTTTATACATTACAATGACACAAGGTAAGACCACCACCTGTCTGAGATGGCCATTTTTCTCCTTGATAACAGGCAGCTGTCTCAGACAAGTTCAAACATATATTTAAATATCTAAATTAAGAAAGTTGTCAAGAAAAACAACAAGTAAAACATTCAGTTAAAAAGTCCTCTATCGACAAAGCTAGAAGAATCTAAATGCCAGTTTTCATTTTATAGGCTTAAAAAACTTTAAAAAGTGAAAAAGATTCTACATATTAATGAGCGTGCCAGAGGGTGGGGACAAACAGTTTCAATGCAAGTCAGTAGAAAGTGATGTTGGAATAACACACAAGTACATCTCTCCCTAGATGCAGACGTGTGATACTAACTTTGGCATACTATCTTGGTCTTCTTTCCCTCCCTTTTCTTTACTCTAAACACTCATTACTATACCCGCTGGGCAGGAGCACTGTTCTCTCAAGTTTTTCTCATGCTGGATGCAGTTTCAGATAATCTTGGTTCAGAACCCTTAGGAGTACTTTTTGAATTTAGTCGTTTTGCAAGTTCTCAAAGATTATTACCCACTAAAAGTCCCACTAGAGACAGACAATTATTTAATGGTGTTGAACGAAGTATTAACTCCACACCAGACTGTCCAACAAAACCACTTCGTTCAACGCTTTGCCTTCAGAACGATTTATTTGAGTACACTGTTTCCAAAATCTTTTTTAAAAGTGTGCTGTGACAAAAGAAATATCAAAGACTAAAAGAAAACAATACAGTCTGTGAGAGTTATCACCTGTCGTTGATGATCTTGATGGCCTCTGCATGGTCTTGAACAGGCATGATCGGCAGCAAAGGCCCAAAGATCTGAAACAAGAAAATTGATATCACTTTTAAATTGTACTCCACAAAACAAAAATTCCTACATTACCCTTTTGATAGCTGGATACATGCTGATATATGAAGGGGAAAAAGTAGAGATGAGAGATATATAAATCAAGTTATATGACAACTATAAAATACAGCCCAAACTCAGTTGTACAAGGCGTGATTTAGCTTAGAATAAAATGTGAAGAGTCAAAAGAATTTTTTGTCTTACTTTATTTTAAAGAGGACATCTAAAATCAATCCTTCAAAATCAATTAGTTTTCAATTCCTTCCGAAACAACAATGGCGTGACCTACAGAATCATCTGCTATAAAAGTCATTCATTAAGCCAGAGGCAAACATGAAAAACCATAAAATTCACTGGAAAAGGAGGCTTTTCAAAAAAAGGATAAATAATGCCGCATTGTCCTTCCACTCGGATTTTCTAAACACTTCTCCTGCTTGTATTGTATCAGTATGTCAGCATTTGGAAAACTAAAAGTACCTCTGCCTGCTACTGGCAAAAAACATGCAGTTCCCACCAACACTTGAAGCAATAGTTGTTTAAGATTTATGCCCCCATCAATGCTATTTATAGACCATCTAGGATGTCAAGGCAACCCAACCTGAGAGGGATACATCCTTAGAGAAAGACAGAGATACTCGCAGGTGAAGCAACAAGTTTCAATTATCAGTAGTCAGGTAAGGAAAAAATGCCTGACTATTTCACTTTATGCCAAATCCCATCTTCACAGATCTGTCCTACATTAACTCTTAAAAGTCGGCAGATCTTGTAACCAGATTATGCATTGAAGGTTTTTTTGGGGGTTTTTCCTCTCTTACTTTACTAAATTCTTATATTGTGTCAAATCTTCAGTCTTTTTTTTTTTAAATGTTGGTTGGTATTACATGCTTGTAGCTTTAAAGCTATCTTTTTTTATGCAGAAAATGCTAACATTAACATATTTCAAATTAAACTTGCTGCGATAAGCAGGGAATAGGCCTATGATCTGTAAGAGTTAAGAAGTGAAGTAAAAAAAGCAAACCGCCTCTCACCTCATCCTGCATGACTGGATCCGTCAGTTTCACATCGCGAAGAACAGTGGGAGCGATGTACTTTTCTTCCTCCACGTCTCCCCCACCAACAGCTACCTCTGCGCCTTTTTTCAGTTTCTGAACCCTCCTGCGATATAGAGGGATAGTAAAGAGAGAAAAAAAATGTTTTACAAAATTCAAGAATAAAACCAGCTCAGATTTTTTAAATCTTAACATTCTAATTGAAAAATGCAGAGTAATTGACGGATGTACTTATTATGGCCAAATAAAAGAGAGAAAAAATGTCATCATACACAAGCTGAAACACGTGTTAAAATATGGACAAAATGTCCTCAAGGTTTAAGAAGTCAAATTATTCTTGTTATTATGCTGTAGATTACAAAAATTAAATATGAAAAAGGCCTCATTTTGACTGATACTGAATATGGATGATGACAGGAACACTGAAAGATATGCTATGAGTTTCCAACCCCCATGAACACTGTAAAGCTATCTTTATCCCTTTGAAGCCTGAGGTTTTGATTTTGATAGCGTTAGTTCCCCTAGGTTTCTCGTTCATGTGCTTGCATGGACAAATGGGAGCAAAGCTGTAGAATACCGATTTATCAGGCATTTGGGACACGACAACCCTGAGGCCCAGACGAAAATACAAGTCTTTCGGGCACAAAGGATTACGAGGTGGCATCTCTATAGTGCGATCAAAAATTCATGGCGCAACTTATCCTCAAATATCTCTTTAACGGGTGAATCAATGTCATCCATACTTTGAACAGTAGTTTGTATCAATTTGTCTCAACTAAATCATATTTTTCCAGAACAGTTGAGGCTAGATTAAAAAACTTTTCTTCATAAATTTATATAAAATACTTGAAATCTCTGTCACACGTAAAATGGTATTGTTCACAACACTTCCGGCTTCTCACACACATTTTGATTACGCATATATGGCCTACGTCATAGCTCATCAATAACAATTTTTACTTGCAAAACTTGTTGCAAGAAACTATTTTTACAGTGAACACATTTTTTTTTTCACTAATGGTTCTCAAAACATGTGTTCAATAAGTATAATGTCCTGATTAGAAAAAAATGACGGACTTGCTATTAAAAGCATTATTGCCCCATCAACCCATACACCAACTGAACTTGTGCAAACCGAGTAAACATTGAAAAAGGACTAACCAGACCAGAGCCTCCATCAAACAAACAACTTTTAAGATTAAAAAGCCAACTTTTCTCACACACATGTAAAAAAAAAAAAATAGAAGAAAGTCAACAGTTAAATCTGGAGCACCTGCCCCTCAAAAGACCATCTAAGGTCCTTACCACACCAGAAATATCCACAGAAAAATAAGAAACACTACATTAAAAGTCATGACCTCTTGTACCATATATCATCTGTTGCATACTTTACTTTACTTTACTTTTCCGATCCAGCGGCCATTTGGGTTCTAGCCCTTTGGTCTGTCGACATGGCAAAGAATTGACAGGTTTTAATCAGCTGTGCTTTGTCGCTGTATAGAGTGTTTCCGATGTCTGGGGAGGCAGGTAGATAGGTGCTATGCAAGTCACAAAGTGCTGGGCAGTTAAAGAGGTGGTGTGGTACTGTTTCATCCTGGCAGTCGCACAACGGGCAGTCGGGTGGGGTATCCTTGCGGATCCTATTAAGGTAGGAGTTTAGTGGTATGTGTTGTGTTCGCAGGCGAAATATCGTGACTTGTTCTCTTCTACTCAGGGAATTTATTGCATCTTTAGAGTTGGGGGCTGTCATGTGTGCAAATACAGTTCTTCCAGTTTTGCCCATTGCCCATCCATTCAGCCACTGTTCCCTGGTGTTGCATTTGATGATGTTCTTGGCTGTCTGTTGTGATACTGGGTTGTGAGGTTGTGTCTGTGATGCTCCCTTCTTGGCAAGGGTGTCTGCTCTGTCGTTTCCTGGGATATTGCTGTGGCCAGGTATCCACTGTAGTGTCAGGTCGATGGCATAGGTCTGTATGAACGTATTGATTGTTTGAGCCACGGATAGGCAGGCTGGGCTTTCGAAATTCATGTTTTTCAGAGCTTGGAGTACTGACTTTCCATCTGTGAAGATTCTGTTGCATAAAATCACTGAGAAAACAAAAATTCCATATACTCTCAAGACAGAAAAAGTATTCCAAATATTTGAAGATATAAGTGGACAAAGCAAGAAGGAAATACCACATTCATGAATGCTGCACATGATAATAGAGATAATTCATTATTTCACAACTGTATATAAGACCAATTATGAAACAATACGTCGCAGCGAGGTGAAATCAGGCGCTCATCAATTTTTCGGCGGGTGGAGTTATTGGTATCATCTTAAAGCTTGTTCAGTTGCCTTGCTATCAATGAAAAAAATGCCCATCTATCTTGAATAGAAGTCAAGATATTTGAGATTGAAGAAGGTGAGGTTGCCTGATTTCAAAGGTAGAATAAGTGAGAAAATGGCCGCCAAAGTATGTTTATTTCCATAGCTTGGTAGTCCGTGGAAACTGAAAAATTACATTTTGTGCATTTAATAGACGTTTTTCAGTAAAAACCTAACCATAAAAGTGTTCATAATTGGACAACAGTGGTGTTACGCCAAAAAAATATCAGTTTCTTCAATTTCAGTATTTTGACAAGAGCTTGGTTTCACCACGCTGGCTCACATACAGTATTGAAAAAAAGAATCGTTATTAACTGAAAGTGTTTTTCGTTGACGATCCGGCCAAAACTGTCGCTGCTCTTTGGGTCAGCAGTGTAGAAGGCTTCAATGGTTGCCTTCAGGTTTTTAATCAGTTCATCCTGGAAGGGAAAAGAGAGGAACAAAAAATAACAAAAGTGCATACAAGCAGAGAGACATATAAGAGACAAGAGCTAGAAACCAGATGAAAAAAACTTTCAGTTTCAAAAAGTGCAGAAAGGAGACGGTCATGTGGTTTTTTGTGTTGTACAGTTGACTCAAAATCTAAAAAACTTGTAGAGACCCTACTTCAAACCTTGAACACTTCCTTTTGTGATAATACACTTAGCGACACATTCTGTTCACCTCAAATCTCCCCAAATTCGATAGATGAGGAAGAGAAACCTATAACCCACAAATGTCCATTTTCAAGATTTCCAGCAGCACCCCACTTCACCATCTAGAGGAGAAACACCAATACATACTTATCAAAACTAACCAGTCCCTCAATAATCTACCTCTAAGGTATGTATACCAACAACTGGTCGATGCAGGCTAAAAGATACTTTCCTACCAGTCTATATTTCTCCAGTGTCAAGATATCTCTACACACTTTACTATTTCTATGATATTTCTATTCACCTGCATGTCTTTCTGACACATCACGTAGTCAGGAGCAACACACGTCTGTCCGGCATTTGCAAACTTCCCCCAGCACAACCTGCGCGCCACCACCTCCATGTCGGTACCTTTGTCCACGTATGCCGGGCTGGTAGAGTGAGGGCAAAATGTTTAGAAGAACATTTAATAAAGTACAGTACTCCCTCCAATATCTCTGACAATATTTCAGACAGTTCCACAATAGGTGAAAATCCAGGTAGAAACAAAATATTTATTACTTATTTTATGCCTGTATAAACGCTTCTCGTATTCTTAAACGCTTGTCCCATACTCTCATAAAGACTTTCAAAATTTGGAGTTTGAGAGACCAATAGTACATAAAAATAAAACATTGTGTGTATATTTGTTAATAATTTTACCAAAATTAAAACTTTGAGTACTCATAAAACTTTCAGCTAAAAAAATCCACAATGTTCCGAGTTCATGAAATGTGAAACATGATAGGACTAGGGCACACTGTATACTTTTTAAAAGATATTTTATTGCTATACAGAATAAAAGATGCCAATAGATTAAGAACAAGTAGTACACCTTCAGATTCAGCATGACAATGAGCATGACATTAATGCTGCATCTTTGCCTAAAACAAAAAAAGCTGTCTTACTTGTGAGGTAAAACTTTTATACTTATTTCAGTTAAGACATTCAAAACTTTATTTGCATGAAGGAGTCATGAAGGAGAGCAAACATAACCTCAAACCAAAACAGAGACCTTATGCTTCACAAAAGAAGTTCCAAAAGGGTAAACCTACATCGCACGTCTAGTGAGAACTTCATCAGTTTCAGTCTCATGTACTGGGACAAGTATCAAAAAATGATAATGATTGATCTTCAAGTATTAAAATTGTCTTTTTGCTATTTACTGAGTTTAACGCTCACTAGAAATAGTAGACATAACTTCAAAGGCAAAGCACTTGGACCCACGTCAAGACAGTGGGTTGATAGGATATTCTAGGAAGGATGAAAATAATAATTTGAACCCCACTTACATCCAAACCTCAAACTTTTACAAGTATCGTAATATACAGAGCAACAACAGCTGACCAGTTCTTCCATAGGTGAAAATGTTAATCACATCAAAAAGGTGGATCAGTAGAAACTTTCCAGTCACCTTTTCCCTCCTAGCTCCAGCAGAACGGGCGTCAGGTGTTTCGAAGCGGCTTCCATCACAATACGAGCCACGAAACTGTTCCCTGTGTACATAATGAAGTCAAACTTCTCCTTGAGCAAAGCCGTTGTCTCAGGCACTGCCCCATTCACAACTTTGATGCAGTCCTGTAAAAAAGAAAAATAAACAATATCCTTCTTATTTCTATGGGTCCTTCTGTGTGTTTTAGTAAATTTTTTAAGGCATTTGCAACACAATCAGGTCATATAAGTGCCAAAGATTAGAGGTGTTACAAGAGAGTAACAAACATAGAAATGGAGGAGAGATAAGATTGATAATGTTTAATAAGAAAGAAGTTGTAAACAACACCAGAGCACCTGCCAACCACCTACATGGGTCTTCCATTGCGACACAAAGAGCTGAGAGGAAAAAACAGTCCTTGCGTAGTCGGCACGAGATCGAACCCTAAAAGAAGAAGATATTTTACCAAGTATTATCTCCATCTTTCTGCTGAGATTCCGTATGTCATACAGGCCAGGTTAGCCCTGACAGGCAGGATAGAAGTAGCCCGTCTCCAATATAAATCAAATTGTTCTATGTTTCAGTAAGCATTTTATGGCACTAGCAGCACAATTAGGTCATATAAGTGTTGAGGATAACAGATGTTACAAAAGAGTAACAAACACAAAAAAGAAGGAGAAATAGGAACAACATATTTTTGACAGGGAAAAAAAAGCAAACCACACCCGAACACTCGCCAACCACCCACATCAGTAAATTAATTACACGTTTATTAAAACAACCAGACAATAAAAATTCACTGGTGTTCATATGACCTTATGCAGTTGCGAGCACCGTAAAACCCCTATTAAAACCAAAAACAAAACAAAAATTCACTCACATTATCGACGTATTTGGGAAGGTAGTCCTGCAGAAACTGAGCAGAGGCAGCAGAGACTTCTGAAGGCTTCAACACCACACAGTTACCTAAGGATTACAAGCTGTTCTTTAAAAAGGGTTCTCAACATTCAAACTCTGTATACCCATTCAAAGTAGGGGTTAATGGTTTAGACATCTGCCGAGACTACCACCAGATAGTACAGTAGCTAGAGCAGGCAACCAGAAATCAGACAGAAACAGAGAAAGGGGCATGCCCAGGGAAAGAGGGATAGAGATCTCGGAGAAACATTAGTCAAGAACAATATAACCATGCAACAAGTGACACAACAAGACAAAGACGTTTGCTTCTCCCATCAACACCGCAAAGTAACAGAGGCCAGAAATATAAAAAGTAAGTGAAATAAGTAAGTATACCTATTGGTACTTTCTAAAAAAAAGTAAATTTACTAACTGTTAGTTCATTTCATGGAGCCACACAAGTTATCACTAGTTAGTTATATGTAAAAAAAAAAACCCATCCTACTTTTTTTACCATTCAGCCCTACACCTTACAGCCTATGGGCAAACATGGTGTGTTGTAAGTAGCTCTGTATAATGTGCTGCCTGAGTCAGGCTGAGAGGCACGCACAGTTTATTTCCCGATCGATAGTGTTTATTTTTCGTCCACTTGAAATGTTAAGGTAGGCCTATGGCATTTCCTGTGGAATTTGTATAATGAGTATGATTTCTTGTTTGACCATTGAGTTGCATTTTATGAGGTGATAAGAGAGTATCGATGACAGCACAAACAGACACACGCACACGCGCACACACACACACACACACACACACACACACACACACACACACACACACACTCACACACACACACACTCACACACAGAAACAAACAAGTGCCATTCCACCACTGGTTTATGCTGAGCCTCATTTCAAAGTCCCTACTCAAATATCAAGATAGCTTCTATATATATATATATACAACAGAGTGAATGTGAACCATGTAAGAAGCTAACAATACTGATAATAACAATAACATAGAGAAAGGAAATCTAATGACAAAGCCGACCTGAAATCCTGCATAATATTTCAGACTTAACAATGTAAATGTTGTTTCAGAACACCCTCAGGGTATGGTTTATTACTGTACACAATACAATTCTGTGGCTTCGTGGTGAAATCGGGCTCTCATCAAAGTAATGAAATTTAATTCAGAAACCTACATTTTTCCACCCATGGGGCAATTTTTATCAATTTTTGGGGGGTTTTGGGCTCAACATCTTTATATGTCCGCTTCAAACACATTCCTGAGAAAATTGAACTGAAAAACATTGATAAAAGGCACCTTTTACTTTTACTTTTATCCGCCGCTTATACCTTTTGGATGTCGCGGGAAGAAGAGACGTCTCTCTGCCACCAGCCGTAGAGCTTGGGAATGGGGGGGATGCCATGAGTTGTTGGTGTTTCCCTGATTCCATCTAACCAGGTCTTTCTCAGTCGCCTTTTAGCCTTGTTGCCATTGAATTTTTTTATGTAGGCACGTAGTGCTGGATGGTGTTGGTAATCGCAAGAGATGTCCGAACAATTTGATTCTTTGTTGTTGGATGTGATGCATGACATCATTTGTGCCCGCCATTTCTCCGACTACTGAGTTTCTAATTTCGTCTCGTCTGGTCTTGTTTACTGCTTTTCTAAAGACATCACATTTCACATGTTGTAATTCTTTGCTCCAATATCTTGTTCGTGGTCCATGTTTGGCATTGATAGGTGAGTGTTGGGATGAATGCGGTGTTGATCATTTTGAGTTTTGTTGTAATGGGGATGTTAAGATGTTTCAGTAGTGGAGTAAGCTGGTAACTAACATTATTGGCCTTTTGTATTCGTGTTTCAATTTCTCTATTCAGTTGCCCATCCTCAGTCAATATACTTCCGAGGTACTTAAATTCTTAGACCTGTCTGAGACTGTTGTTGTTGATGTGTATCCTGAGTGGTTCTGGATTCCTGCTTACTTTCATTGTCTTTGTTTTGTTGATGTTGATCTTCATGTCGTAGTTGTTACATTCTTCATTTAATCTGGTGTTGTGGTGTTGGAGACTTTGTTCATCTTTGTGTTCCAGACTTTGATCATCAGTGAAGAGTAATTTATTTAAGGCGTCAGGTTCTGTGTTGGCCTCTTTTGTAATTCTACCCATATATATAATAAATAGAAGTGGCGATAGGACACAATCTTGTCTTACTCCGGATGTTATCTCGAACCATTCTGTGAGTCCCTCTGACGTTCTTACTGTAGTTGTGCTGTTATCGTAAATGGCACGGATGTTATCTAGAAGTTGGCCTCTTACAGTGTAGTTTTCGAGTTCTTTCCACAGCTTGTTTCTGTTCACTCTGTCGAACGCTTTCTCCTGGTCGATAAATACTATATTTAGTTCCCTGTTGTGTTCTATTACCCTTTCGCACATTTGTCGTAGGGCTAATATTGTGTTGGTGCATCTTCTTCCCTTTCTAAATCGATAAAAGGCACCAAAAAAAGTAGCCTAAATTTGCAGTCTCAAATGACTCTCAAGCTTTGGAAGTCACCAGACTTTCCGTTTCTTCCTTCCATTAGTTTCTTTCGTTATGAATAATCCGCTGCTGACTTGCTAGGCCTGTCACAGTTTCACCAGAGCCCGGTCAGCCTGCAACTTTTAGGGGAGTTCCAAGTTCTCCTTCAAGGCTAGCGTGACGCCTCAATGGCATAAAGCCACATCGTACTTTGTTGAACCCAGCAATCCCCTACTTTGTCCAGTTTCCACCTCCTGGGAACATATTTACCTACAAATTTTACCTCTGACGACAGACGACCTCCATCTCCTTCAATCACAAAAATTTTGACTTTTATTCAAAACAGGTGAGTATTGTTTTTTATCAAAAGTAAGGCAAATGAAGAGGATTTGAGATAACACCAATAACTCCATATGCCCAAAAATTGACAAGCACCTGATTCCACCGCGTTGTGACATGCATTGTTCTGTAATATATACGAATTCGACACTCGTATTCTCCACCATATCACGTATAGTACATAATATGGCTTCACAATTGATTTCTACCAATGCCACCAGGTGTGTTATACAATTTTCCCCGCCCAGGTAGGGTTAGATTACAGGTGTGGCATGATGCTTACTGAACCACGGGGGATAGAGAACTGACTTTGGATGAAGAAGACACAGCTGCAGGGCCTCATGCAATATGCATAAATAAGCAACAGAAGCTGAATCTTAAAAGGCAATGAGAAGACCGATAATGCGGTAGCTGGAGTGAAGGAGGGCAGAGAAATTTCTAGATGCCATTGTTACCAAGTAGTCCACGGAAAGTCAGGTCAATAACTGGCGCATTTAGTTTAGCTTTTGGTAAGAGTTTTACGGCACTTGCAAAATAGTTAAGTCACATAAGTGCCAATAATTAGTGGTGTTACAAAAGAGAAACAAACATAAAAAAAGAAGGAGAGATAGGGACGATAGATGTGGAATAAAAACGAAGAAGCAAATCATATCAGAGCACCCGTCAACCAACCACTTAGTACATGATGATAATAATAACAATTACAAGAATAAAAATAACAATAACAACCACAATAATAATAATAATAATAATAATAATAATAAAAATAATAATAATAATAATAATAATAACAATAATAATAATAATAATAATAATAATAATAATAATAATAATGATAATAATAATAAATTACATTTACATAGCGCTCAACCCTGATTAAAGAACACAGACTCTGAAAGCTTTACATGTACAAATAGCTACACATAAACAGTACATTCTGTTCCGACCAAAAATCTTGGTATACTGTCGAAATTGTCTAAGACAAAAGTGGCCGTTTAGACAGGTGATCGTCCTACACAGTCTCATTATAAGGTGAAAAATGCGCAAGGTAAGAAATGGGAAGTGGCCGTTTGTACAGGTGATTGTCTTATCCAGGTGGTCGTTTGTACAGGTGATTGTCTTATCCAGGTGGCCGTTAAAGCAGGTTGGACTATATCTCTTTCATCTAAAAACTTGAGATCCGGAAACCTCACCCACCAGCTGCGATAGCACCAATGAGGGGCAGGAGGGTCAGCTGGATGGGGTAGTTCCAAGCCCCGATGATGAGAGCCACACCATAAGGCTCTGACTGGATGTAGGCCGTGTCCATCATGTACAGGGCTGGCTTGCTCACCTGAGGAAAAAACAAACAAACACAAAACACACCTTGTCAATCAAGTCTGATATTTGTATGATGGTACACACTATGATTACCAAAAAATAAAATGTTCTGGCAATATAACAAAAGGTAGAGGAATATAACAATTTATTTGTTTATTGACAGTTTTATGGCACTTGCAACACAATTAGATCACAAAAGTGCCGAAGACTGGAGGTGTTACATAAAAAACACAAACACAAACACAAAGAGAAAAAAGAGGGAAGAGAGAAAAGAACAATATGTGTTTCACAAGAAAGAAGGAGAAAACCGCACCAGAGAACCCACCAACCACCCACAGACAATAAAAATCCATACTATAAGGCAGAGTACCAGGGGGAAGGAATTAGAAAAGACAGAAGAGGAGGAGGCAGGATAACATTTCTGAAAGGACAGGCCTCAGCTTCATTGAGGCTACTCGGACAGCAGAGAACAGTGAGGGATGGAGGCATGTTGTGAGACCACCAGCAACATAACTCCAACAGGACCCTAGCACATGTTAAAGTGGCGGTACCAAGTACGAGGTACAAGGTAAGAGGTGAGTACAGACTATACTCCCCTTTCCACATTGAAAGGAAATATTAATAAAACCTTCAATGTAACATCTTCATATTTTCTGGTTATAACCAAGGCAAGAATACAAAGAGTTTTAAAAACTCCTCAATCAGCAAGTTTGCTATAGGTTCATTCAGGGTTCAAATCAGATTCATTGCCAACTATAGTCAAAATTGTCCAAGACGGCAACCCATTGTCGAGGAGAAAAGTGTCTGTCTTCTTAGACAGGTGGACATATTGGACAGTGTCATAATATTTTCAAAAATGCAAGGGCGAAGCGGTCGTTTGTACGAGTGATTGTCTTGAACAGGTGTGACTGGATAAAACAAGGAGCAGCCTAAGTCCCCAATGGCTTGTGTCCCACGTGGGAAGGAGAGGGGCACAAGAAAAGGGACCTTCAGTGTACAGGGAATACTAGCTTGGAGGAGGAAAATCTTGAGGACAAGGTGGAGGAGGGTCAGTGAGACTTGGGGGGGGGGGGAGGGGGGGGGGAGAAGAACACATCTAGATGGACATAAAGATAAAAAGCCTAATGGTAAACACTGATGAAGGGAAGAAGATCAGAATAATCACGGGAGGGACCAAAACATACTAGAGAAGACAAGTGGTAAATAAAACACAGTCAAAATTGTGAAAGTTGGCAACCCACTTTCGAGGAGAAAAGCGTCCGTCTTAGACAGGTGGATGTCTTACATGGTGTCATTATAACATAAAATAAAACTTAAGGAGGAAATGGGAAGTGGTCATTTAAACTGGTGATTGTCTTATACAGGTAGCCGTTAGAGTAAGATCAACTGGATTTTTTTTTTAAACCAACAAGATGACATCAACCAGTCTACCTATTTTCTGGTAATAACCAAGGCAAGAGGGTGGAGAGTTTCATTAACTCTTCAAACACCTTACAGAACAATAGCTTTATTCAGGATTCAAACCACAGCCACCCACACCAAACCCCAACATAATACCAACAGAGCTAAAATAGAAAGCTCAAATATTAAGCCTATATTTTTTTTTTCACTTTTGAGTCTGATGTTCTGGCAAAGTCTTAAAGAGTAAACAAGTAATTTCAAAGACACAGAGAGAAGGAACGAAACCTTTATTGCAGGAAGACAAAAAGGGGGAAATCTGCAATGCAGACATGATATAGGTATTTATTAGGTAAGCCTTTATGAACCCTGTCCGCACACTTAGAGACCACTCCCACACTCTCATAAACACTTTCTCCACCTGGAGAATGGAGACCAATTACATCTACAAATATTAAACATTTGTATTATATTAAAATTTGTTAATACTTTTTTTACCAAAATTAAAACTCTGACTGGTTGCTTTTCAGCAAGAAAGGTGTCAACAGAGCTTCCCTGTTTTTGGTTTCTTTTTTCTGTTTTTGAAATACATATTAGACACAACTTGCTTCATTCACGAAGTGTGAACCACAATATGGCAAGGGAATGCTGTATAGCTCTAATACAAATATCTCCCCCCCCCCCCAACCTCCTTACTAATACACAAAAAGGTTTCTATGCACAATATGATGAAACAAAAATATAACCATGTACTAAAAACTAATGCCACAGCATGAAGGCAGAAGGCTGGAGGCTGCCCTTGACATAGGTCCTATTTTTTGTACTCTCGCTCTGACAATTCTATTCACCAACCTTACTCTTTGACAGTACTAAACAATAAAATTATACTTTGTTAGAGATGTAAAAGAGGTATGTATCAAATTTTGGGTAATCTTGCAGGAATACGAAAATAAATAAGCAACCATTCCACAGTTATTTCTGACAGTAAATGTTGTTTCTAACTTGTCTTTTTGGGGAGGGGGGATTGGTATGAGTTTTACTGTGCTCACAACTGCATAAGGTTATATGAGCGCTTAAAGTAATACGTCTGGGTGATAGCCTACTCTAAAAAGCATAGAAGGTGAAAGATTTTGTCAGTTTGTTAGTGTTGGAGCGCTTAATCAGCTGCTTGCACTGTATGCTTCCCGGGAAGCTGAGAATGTCTCTGAGCGTTCTATGGTCTGCTGGGGTAACAATATAGTGTAAAGCGCATAGGGCTTGCTGTAGAGCGGGGTTATCAGCTTTACAAATGCTGTTTATTATTATCATTATTGAAAGTGGTCTTGAATTCAAGCTCAAAATGTGACAAGGACAGTCCCTAACGTACATCGTCACTCCCCATGTATGTGTGTATGACAATATGTGGCTTGTGCCTAACACACTTACACTTACACACAACACAGCTTGCTTACTACAAATGCCTCCCTCTGCTTATATCAAACAGTGGTGATGCTGATTCTTATCAGTTTATCAGAAAAGTCATTAGATAATCCTGGGGTCAACAGGCATAAATTCTTGGTGACATAGAATGAAACAAAGGTGAGAGAGATAACAAGCTAGACTTTCACTCTGGAGTAAATAAAACCGTCAAGTGTCACTATAAGAGTCACTTTATAGGATAAAGAAAAAGGAAGAGAACATGAAATTTGCTTTGAGTATGGGGGTTGGGTTTAATATAAAAATGAATTTGTGGTGGTCTAATCCATCTAATACACAATGTCAATGAAGGAAGAAATCCAATCAACCATTTGTATTTTACATGAAGAGACAACGATATTTGCCACATTTTGTCAAGAGCAGGTTAGTGTCAGAGGTACACTGAAAAACAGTAGAAGGACCACACCAGAAAACCAACCAACATCAAAGCATAGGCAAGGAGAACTTCAATACGAAGATTGGACTATCATATGACCACATGGACCACACATCAAAGATAAGATGAAGTAAGATAAGTCTTTATTGCCCAGACATTGGTACACTCGCGTGAGCGTACACTCGCGTGAGCACGCAAGCACACACACACACACACACACACACACACACACACACACACACACACACACATACGCACGCACACGCACACGCACACACACACACACACACACACACACACACACATATTTTATCACAAATGCTCTCTTCCATAAACCATTCACATGTGGTATTTGAATAGAGTGAATAGCAACCCATTACTTTAAAGAGTCAATAAAGATTCTTTTTCCTCAAAATCACACAGCACTAGACCACGGTAGTTAAAAAATGCTATTGTCAACCACAGAATTCTCTTCTGTACAAGAAAGAACTACTCATTTGTTTACTCTATTAAATATACTAACTATTTCTATCCTGTTACAGCCACAGGAAAAAAGGAAAAATGGGGCTGGGGTATATGGAATATGTATAAGTTAGACATTTTCAAAGCTTCACCTTTTCTGGCTTCATCCAATCTTTCAAATTGTTGATGCAGTCAATAGCCTCAGAAACACACATATTTGCTTCCATTACCACACTTTCCAGGGAATGCTGAAATATAAGAAAAATGAGACACCCAAATACAATCCATGAAAATTTTTACACACAAAAAACATTACAAGGCTTATGAACATTACTAGAAAACATAATATTATTTCTATACTTCACCTTGAGTTTAACATCTCAGTCCTTACAAACAGGTAGCTACCTTAAAATTATTAAGTTCCATATATTGACATTTTTGGCCATTTTGAGTTACTAAGACCATAAGGTCAGAAACCAAACATTCAATCTGTTCTATCTAAATCATAAGATTATTCAGAGTCGCTATCAAATTATTCAAAGAATTGCATTTGAAAACTTAATGTTGTGATACTCCAAATTTTTTAAGTAAAATTTCTCAAAACTAGGTACTGCTGGGATAGTGAGGTTGCCCTGCAGTCAGTACATTCCACCAGCTGGTCAGAGCCTCCAACAATTCTAATACAAGTAACTGTATTTTACAGACTACGTACAGCCACATTGCCAGTCATAAGCAAGACACTCAAGAATCACATAAAAGAGATCGGCTCCACTTAAATCCGATTTATCCTATTCAAGATTTAGGAGCAGGAAGAGACTTGCACCTTGTCTATTCATCATGAAGATTATTTTACAAATACCATCAAGCTCTGAAGTTTAACATTTTTATCCATTTTTAATTAATTTTTTTTTGGAGGGGGGGGGACGGGGTGACCATGTAAGGCAATTACCGTGAAGATAAAGGCTCAAACTTTTTTTTAAAATTTTTAGTTTCCATAGTTTTTTCTCATGTATCCAAAGTGAGTTCATGTACACAACTCACAACCTTTCTAAACATAACTGAAACTACTCTCAGAGCCGATAAAGGTGCGGCTCTTCTTTTGAGAGTAAAGTAAGACAGTTCCAAGTTCCTACTTTGTGCAAATCTTTGAACAGAACTTCGTTGATCTTGTCCGAGTTCTCCTGCAAACACCTCATAATAGCCTTCAGCTGGGAAATTCGCCACTCGTATGTCCGTGTTTTACCGGTGGCGAATGCAGAGCGCACGTCTTTCATCATCTGAAAGAAAACAAAGAATATTTAATCTAATTGAAGGAAAATATAACAGAGTGAAAAAAACGTGTCATTATGAGAATGGTTAACCTAGTGGAACAGAGATATGTTTTGTTTTAGAAAGAATTTTATGGCATTTGTAACACAGTTAGGTAATATAAATGCAGAAAATTAAGGGTGTCACAAGAGAGTAACAAACACAAAAAAGAAGGAAGAGAAATATGGATGATACATGTTTGACAGAAAAAAAAAGAGAAACAAACCACTCCAGACCACTTGCCAACCACCCACAAAGAACAGATAACATGAAGGTAAAAACACTTGCACTAGATAGAAAGGAGTATCAGAAATATCTCAGCACAATAGTAGGCCTACCTTACACCTAGCTACAAGTGATGAATGAAAAAAGTATAAGTGTGGGTAAAGAGAAGTATACTCGTTGTCACCTTATGGGTACTATTTCATGCCTATGAGAGAACACACAGGTCATGTATGATATATTCTTCTGCAACTTTGCAGTAAAAAGTTTCAGTTTCCTGGGGAGGGGGGGGAGGGGGTATGGTGTTGTACGACCTGAATTTTGTGGAACGAAAAAGCTGGTCATCGTGTGAGAGGCACTAAGCCAAACAGGCATCATGTTATTATTTTATTGACTGAATATTTTATCTCTGGTACACACCGAGGTAATTTAGGTCTATTATGACAATACAGTCTGTTCTGGGAGGGGAGAAAGCATGAGAGACAGATTATAAACCTCAGTAGGAAGTACACCTATCAAGCACCCTAACCATAGAATAACTGAATGAAAGACAAAATGAATAGATGAATATAAACGTACACAAAACATATATGTGGGCTTGGCTTTGGTGTAACTGAAAAATTCGGAAAGAAAAAAGAAAGAGACTAATATGACCACTTTTCTCCCTGGCCATCTTCGGCATGTTCGACTGTATATATATTTTTTTAATGTTCATTGGTCAAGACCAAGACACACCAGCATCCATGATGCAAATTTTAGCCTCTCTTTCACTGCACAAAGAAGATATGAGTTTCATTCCTGCATGGGGAAGTATCTCGACCTTTGTACTGGCTTTCCATACTCTGTTCAATCTGAGCTGGCACAAAACACAGGGTTGAGGCAACCAACCAGCCTCTCTGATTAGCAACACTGTGTTGAAGGGAGCCTAAAACCTTTACAATCACTCCCGAAAGAGACAGGTGTTGGACATTCAAAACAGTTACCAAGCTTTATGAAACATATATTTTATATATATATATTATATATATATATATATATATATATATATATTTATATAAAATATATATATAATATATATAATAAAAATAAAGCAACATATCGTCCATCAGCTGATAAATGCACTGAGCCCAACATTCGGAATTTTTTTTTAATTGCATTTTCATAATTAATCTGTGGTATTGGTTGTATGTGCTCAAGAAACATTTTGTCGGAATTCAAAATCTAAATATTATATTGAAAGTATCAAGAAAAAAATAGATAATGCAAGTACAAGTGCTAAAAGAATGAAACAGTTTTTTCTCTCTCCTCTAAAATTTTGCGTTCTGAGCTTAAAACATTTTGACAGCTTGCCTACACTATTATGACACCTTAGCAAGACATAATCTCTCAGTATTTTTGTAACTTAACCCATTAGAGTGTCAGCTAAAACTGCCACAGAAAGGTATGCAAATCAGCCTAGAAGAGATACTGTTTCAAAGTAGAGGCTTTTAACAATTCATACTGACTTAAATAGAATAAAACGCCCAGCCCAAAGTTCATAAAGATCGATTAGGCTACATCATTCAAAAGACCAATGTGACTTTTGAAAGAATAATTCAGTCACTGCTTTTCTTTCCAGTTTATAGGAAATGGCTATCATTGAGTGTGTGGGTGCGTGTGTGTGTGTGTGTGTGGTGTGTGTGTGTGTGTGTGTGTGTGTGTGTGTGTGTGTGTGTGTGTGTGTGTGTGTGTGTGTGTGTGTGTGTGTGTGTGTGTGAGCGCGCGCGTGCGCATGTATGTGTGTGCGTGTGCATGCATGTGTGTATCTGTGTAAGAAAAACTGGGGGGGGGGGGGTTTCGATGGAGGAATGGAGGTTTGACAAAAGCCCTTTTCAATCATTTTTTTACGTCAAGACTACATGCTAGTTTGATGGCTTCTCACTTTAATATTTGTGGGGATACAAAATATTTTATGCAAAGAAACTATTCACAGTTCAGGAAAAACATCAAGAGAGAATGAAAACAAGCAAAAAGTTTTGGGTGGAAAAAAAACAACCCACTTACAACAAAAAATGTCAAAGTGTAACCAGCAGCAAAAAAATTTTCCGAAACTTTCAAGCAATTCAAGTCCCACCCTTCTTTTAGAGACTTCTATACGTGCACATAGAGGACTGGATCCTTCCATTCGCTCCCCTCTGTCTTAAAACAGAGGAGGACAAGAAATAGCACTGAGCTGCTCAATTATCAACGTTCATCCTGCTTACATGGGAATGTCTAGCTATAGCTATTCACTTCTGTCCCACTGCAGTTAAAACAAGACATAAAACCAAATTGCTATGTTTAATCTTCTAAGATCTTTGCATACAGGTCTTGAAGTTGGATGACCAACAGAATCTAAAAGCCTATTCTTAAAGGTCAACTGCTAACTAAGGTTCTGACACATTTACAAATGTTGCCTAAAGTGAGTAAAAAAAAGTAATAGGGGATTTACAGAATGCAACTAAAATATTAAACATTGACGTATTTTCATCATCACTACAGTTTCACATACACCTGAGAAGGGGGCTCTTGTGGTCTTGGGGTTACGCTGTTCGCCTCCTATTCAATAGTTCAAAGCCTGACAGTGACAGAAAATTGTCTTCTCTAAAAATGTTCTCCTTTCACCTCCTTTCCTGCTCTCTAACCATGTTCTGTCATCTGCTTTAGTCTCCATCTTCTGCTCCTACCCCTACCCTACTTTGCCCCTCCTCTGGACTCCTGACTCTTTATGCAACCTTCCTACTACCACTTCAAGGCCTCCTTTTTACTGCTGTCTTTCAGCCACATCCCTGATTTTAGGGTTGGCAAGATAGTTTTTTTCTCCCTTTCTTCACCAGGAAGATAGGCAACGGGTTGGTTGTTTTTCAAAAATCTATCTTAATCCTAAACTGTCACCCACAACACAAAAGGACAGGAATTTTCAAACACCTAATACCTTAGGTTTGCCTTACTCCTGGTTTTGGCACTTCGGAAATCGAATGTTTTTCTAAGGGCAAAGTGGCACTGAGTTACTTTAACAAGTCAAAAAGGATGTCCAAGTTGGACAGCGGCTATGACGTAGAGACATTGACGGTCCAGGTCTGGTAGTTTTTAGTTCTCCCCTTATTCCCCAGGGAGGTAAGCAATGGTTTGGGGTAGACAAAATTTTTCTAAAAATCTAACTCAGGGGTATTACGATAATATTTTTGTAAAATTGAATACAAATCATAATCTTTCCGCCAAGATTCGAAATGATAGGCAGCCCTGGTAAAAGCAAACAGGAATTTTTTTTAATTCAATCTATCATTAGCCTAAACTGTCACCCACAACACATTTAAGGTCAGGAATTTTCTAACACCTTATCAACATAAAATACATTATAGCCTTACTCCTGGCTTTGGCACTTCTAAAGTCTAATGTCTTTCTATGGGCAAAGTGGCACTGAGAAACTACAAGGGCTCAAAGCGAAGAGAATATCATGTTCAAGTTTAACAGCAGCATGTGACAGGGGAAGGGGGAGAGATGAGTGGGATTGATTGTTTGGTGAGGAGGAAGATGGACACTTATCTAATAGTTCTGGTTTCATTGCGTCACTTTTTAGAAGAAATCACTCTTCATATCTCAAAATTTAAACAAAATTAGAAGTAGCATTCAATATTGCTGAAAACATGGTGGAACCAGGGTTTTTTTCATAATTTTTAGTTTAAGAATTTTTTAAGTTGTTGGTTTTGATCGTTAAGTATTGTTAACAATAAAAATACTCCAGAATTGAGCCATTCCTATCCAATTCCACTTATAAAAATATAGAGTATCTACTCTTCAGTATCATGAAATAGGTTCATGGAAGGTTAGTGAGCTTAGGCCCACAATGTCAAGTGTGTGTCAGTGACAAAGCATTTAAGTGAATGGTCACTTGGGTGTGCGTTAGCAACACATAATATGCGTCAGCAACACATAATAATTCAATTTTTAATAACCCTAGCGCAATAACAGGGCGCTGCACAGTGGTGACCAGCAATATGGTGTGTGGATTGTCTATGTTTGCGATGTGTCTTATTTAAGTGTTAATGTACTTGTGTGTTTATGTACGTCATTGTAAAACAAATTTGCCAAGGCCCAAGGGGATCAATAAAGTGAAATTTATTCATTATGGTTATTTTCATTTCTGACGTCAATTAATCGCTACTGTAGTGGCCATCGAAACAAATATGATATGATGATCTAAGCCCTAAGCTAAAGTTCTACAGTGTCATGCTGAAGGCATGCCAACAGCTAGCATACAAATAATACAAGATCATGAGTCATATGTCATGACTACAAAGACTATATGTGTCGCAACTTGGTGGAATCAGGCGCTCGTCAATTTCTGGGCATAGGGGGGTTATTGGTAGTATCTTAAAGCCTGTTCATTTGCTTGCTTTTGGTGAAAACAGTGGGCATATTCATCTATGTTGAATAGAAGTCAAAATATTTAAGATTGAAAGAGATCAGGGTTGCCTCATTTCAGAGGTGCAATTAACGAGAAAATGATCGGCAAAGTTTGGTAATTTCCATTGGTTGAGAGTCCGTGGAAACCGAAAATTGACATTTTTAAAGTCTTTAATCAATGTTTTTCAGTAAAATTCACAGTTATGTGTTTTCAAATGGATATAAAAGGTGTTGAGCCAAAAAAAGAAAATTAGAAAAAAATTGGCCAACAGTAAAAAAAAAATATTAAAAAATTAAAAGCCATTTTCTTTGATTTCATTAT